TTTTTTTTTTTTTTTTTTTTTTTTTTTTTTTTTTGCTGCCGTTGTTGGTAATAAGAAGTAGGCAAAGCTCGATGTCGTTTGATAAACTGTTATGAATTCTTATAACCTTAAATTTAGAGTCGTTTTCAACAAATTATAACTGAATGATAGAACACAACTATTTGCTCTTTTCTGTTTCCATCTTAGTTATAAGTCCACTCTTAATTAAGGTCACGACATTAACGTTGAGGAGAAGACTTGTTGCATGAATCTTAAAATTTAGTTGTGATTTTCTTGCACCGATAAACTTTGCAGCCACATTCTCCAACAAATTTTTGGTTAATCAGAAACGATAAGTGTTACATAAAAGTCTGAAGAGAGTGTTAAAATGAAAATTAGTCCAATGTTGCAGCATAAATTTCTGGCTTAGTTTTTGTCGCTGCTGTGGTTGTTTTTTTATCGGTTTCGGCATCCCGTACCAATTTTGGCTTATAAAAACTTTGAGATGTCCGCATTGGCAGTGTTGGAAAACTGCCGCGACTTCGGTACTTGTCTAGAATTTTCAGTTATAATTTTCAATTCAATTATGCCATTTTTTTGCGGCAAATAAGCGTATAAAGAAAAAATTTTACATATGGTAAAACAGAAATCTGCTTAAATGTAATAAACATTAGGTAAAAGTTAATTAGAAGATTGAGCAGCGAATGCAAGCTTAACTAGTTTCCGTAGAGCTCAAATAAGTAGTTTTAAAAGATCAAAAAAGAGGATAATGTTCAAACCTGTTATTCGCTTCTTGCTCTTGAATAATTTGAGATACATAAGGCAAATCAGTGTGAACAAGAGCGCAGATAAGCCTCCTAGTGCGGACGCAACTGCCAGAAGGCTCTTTTTGCTAACGATACAATCAGATACCTGCATGCCAACCGGACCATCTTGGTTATCTGTAGTGCTTACCATATCAGCTAATTAGTAAAAGATCAACCAAAGATTTTAAAGTAACATTAAGAAAAAGCTTTCTAGAGCGACATCAGCATGTACACACACACACAAAAAAAAAAACCAAGAAAGGAAATAGTTATATTCAAATTATTACTTGAAAATTCTTACACCTTACACGTCATTTCACTTCTGCAAAAAAGGAGGTGAGTTAGTTCACGTATTGTCTTGCAACGATACGACTTTCATAAACGTTTATTATTAGCAAGTAATTTTTTTGGAGTAATAAGAACTTTTAGAGGAATTCAATTATATGAACATCTTTTGTAAATAATTAGTTGTAAATGCAAAGAAACACTAGGTTGTGCTTGTTGAACTAAGCCACTTCTTATGTTACTCTTTTGAAATTCAAAGAAAAAAGAGAGAAAAAAAGAAAAAACAAACATAACTAGATTGAAAATATTATTATAAAAGTTTTTCATATAGAATGTGCAATAAAACGTCATCAAAAAACTATGTTTAAAAAATTATGTATTTGAAAGATTTTTTGAAGTACCAATTTTATATGTTTAAAAATTTATTTTGGTTTATTCAATAATAAATTTTTTTGCTTCTCATTTTTTTTATCTTTTTAGGAAGACAAGTGAGTATTTTTCCACCTTTGAACAAGATAATTTTATTTCCAAAAAATAAAAATAATTTTATTTTTTGAAAATAAAATTATCTTGTGCATCAATTTTTTTTTTTGAAATCACCCTCAGTCCTTATGATATTCGAAGCTTAGCAGAAATAATGTTTTGTACTGACTAATACAGAACGATAGTTCTGTTACTCTATGTGTTCGCCAGCACTGATTTCCGTAGACTATTACCGAAAAGCTCTACTGTTGCTTTAACACCAAGTGCGGTTTACGATAATGAAAACTTGTTGAGGGAATCATTAAGTTGCTAGACCCTCCGCATCGCAGTAGTGTAAAGCAGCCAGAGATTTTTATATTACAAATAAAATTATCTTGTGCATCAACTGCACCCCCTACTGAACAGCATTTTCAAAATTCCTCCTGCAGAAGGTAACACTGAGCAAATACATATTAAAAAAATTGTTCTTAAACTGGTCAGAAAAAGAAATTAAAGTTTTTTAGCCTAATATTCATCTGTAGAAAAACCAGTATTTTTAAAGTACAAATGAGTTTAATGATGAGAACTAATGCAAAATAAGCAAATCGACTATGTGATTAGAGAACATACGATAAGATCACGATCCGTTACAAAGAAAAATTAAAAAAAAAAGAAAGAAAAGAAAACAAGAGAGACCTACCGGATTGTCGAAACCTGTCACGTTCAGTTAGTGGGGGCTCTTCATCAATGTCATAGACAAGAATACGACCAGCAATTATTGGTGATTCATCATGTTTCTCGTCAAATTCTGGAACGCTTCGATCATTTTCAACCCTTTTTTCTTCAGAATTTTCTTGTCTCGTAACTATCAGTGGCGAATCGCTCATGCGATGATTGTCCCAGTCAAACTAAAACAGTTTCAAGCAAATCCAGCTGATGCAGGTGTCAATGACAAACAGTCGTCATACTGTTCATTAGTTGCATAATCCAAGAAATTAGAAAAATAACTCTTAAGAAAATCTTTTATTTTATCAGAAACCGAGAAGAAATTCTTTTGCTACATTGATCAAGCAGATCAATGCCTTAGTTCCAATTTACAAAAAAATAGGTAAGACGTCAAATTACGAAACTTTATGCAACTTGTTATTTATTTCAATAAATGGCTAATAAATAGACCAAAAAAAATCAAATTTTTTGTTTGAGAAAAGCACAGCTAAAGTCATTATACACTGTAAACTTTTACCCCTTCTTCTAACTAAGTTTTTTCCCAAAATACTCAACCTAGGATCCTCAGCCAGAAATTCACAAAAAAAGTCGTAAAAAGCAGGCCAAAGTTGCAGTAAACTTAATAATTTCAAAATTTAAAAAAGCACCTGTAATGTTTCTGCTTTCTGTCGACTGGCATTTGGCTGTTGCGATTTTTCATGCTTTGGCAAATTTTGCTTGCGATCTTCAACTTCACGCATCTGAAATCATGTCACATTTGCCAAATCTACCTAAACCGGCTGTAAAAGACTGACACCAGACTGTACAACACTGATGAGTTTGTAACCTGATTAAGAAACTCAAAGCCCCTCAGTAATGTTCGTCGATCTTCAACAGAATCTCTAAACATTTTTTGCAAGGAATCAGCGCTAACATCTTCCGGAAGTTTCGCCAATAAATCGTTCAAATTTGGCGGAATAGTAACATCTTCATCGTATTCGGCATATTCGTCTAAATTTCAGGTGCTGTTTTTTTTCATTCGCTGCCTGATCATCGGTTCAGTATTGTAAGTTCTTATCGGTGATGATTTATTGAAGCAAAAGTAGTTTTAAAGCAAAGAAGCATTTTATGCAAAAAATACACTGCTGCACCTGAATTTTTAGACCTTTACACTTGGAAACATCGCAGCTGCTTTGCGTCAATTTAATTTTATCAAAACTTACATTTATTACCGGGTACTGCCGATTTCTGTTGGCCATCCTTTCCCTGGATAGTCAGTTCTTCTTCTGTATCGAACACGGCAGTGACTACCTGAGAGTTCAATGGAATGAAAAGTTTTAAATCTCGCTCTTTAATTAAAAGTGAACAATTCTGACAGTCAGAGTAAAAAGTTCATAAAAACTTCTACATTGCTTTTAAAAACAAAACAATCTTTTTCTATTTAAATTTCTTAAATACTTCAAATACTCTTAAAAATCAAATGTTTGTGAAAATTTTTGAAAGCATTTGCAACACAGAATCGAACACAAACAGTCTGAGAGCGTTCCGACGTCGTTCTTGGTGAAGATCCAGCAGGTCGAGCCTCTTCGCCAATGTCAATATTTCCTGGCAATGGAAACCCCGCACCGAAACCGTTTGCTCGATCCGAAAGGCTATCATAATCGGTTCCCGGTGCAGATAAACCGTTATATGGCGCAGAAGTAGCGTGCTGATTACGCGGGCTAAAACAAGTTCTTTTTTTAATGAAACAGAAATTTTGAAGTTAATAAATGCTTCAACCACATTTTGTTAAACTTTTATATATTGCGACACCTGTAATTAGAATAAAGCAAAAAAATATTGTAATGAATAGAATAAAGGTTTATTTATTAAAAAAAAAATTGTAGAGTAACAAACGGCTGATTGCGGTCAACGGATTCGCTGTTGTAATCTTCTTCATTAAGTTCACTGGGTTCGAGCGAATAATCTTCCGTCTCTCCACCTTTGCCTTCTTTCTTTTTGGGTCTAGGAACCTTTTTTCCCGGACGTATTGCAACTTTTTCGCCTGTTTTTTGCTTCATTTCCTCAGTTATTCGTGGACGTCCTGCTTGAGTCCCAGCGCAAACCGGTGGCTAAGTAATAAATATTACTAATAAAAATGTTTACTTTTTACATGGATTATCTTTTTATATTAAAAATTTGTTATAAAACGTACTGTCATTGAGTCACACATTCCTGCCTTCTTCATGCACATCTGTATCCTACAAAAAAACCAAACACCAGGACGATCAGCAAATTTGAAAACCTGCGATTCTGCATAAGCACGCTGAAGATCTGGAGAGTATCGTATTCCTGTGATTAGCATCGGATCGACAGGACACCTTCAAAAAAAAAAATGTTTTGTCAACTCACGAATTTGCACTGAAAAAAGTAAATTTTTGGAAATTTTTGTTTTTATTACTTGTCGAAACCAAAAATTTTTCAGTCTTTTTGAACCTTCCGTTACGAATGATTAGAAGATAGAATGAAATGTTATCCGCCAGATTTCTACAATAGAGAGTTCAGCTAACAGTTGATGAGAAATGAAAGTAACAACGACAATTAAAAAATTACTAACTACCGATTAAAAATAAAAATGAAAACTTGTCATAGTGA